CTAAAACATTCAAGTATGTATTAGCTTCAGAAAGGCTTTTGCTTTTGAAAAGTTGTTTGTGATAGACATTTAGACATTCTGTAGTGAGAGTGGGTAGAAATGATGGAAGAAGGGATCCTTGTCCCTACCAAATATACCATCTAAAAGGGGGAGTCTGGCAGAGTGAATCAGGAATACCCTGTGACAACTTAAGAAGGGTTGGAAACATGTCTCCTACTCTTTGCAGCTACTCTAGCATTTAACAACTTCCCAGGAAAACACATACACTAGACAGTCATCCACTGAATAAGGGTCCAAGTTCCAGGTCAGCTCATGGCACAGCAAGCTGGGGGCTCCGCACATGAATACCCTTGGGTAGGGGAGGGTAATATAAATATTATTACCAATTACTCCAGAGCTGAACACATGTGAATTCAGAACAACAAAAACCTACTTATTCTCGATGTCTCACAAAATTGAACACTGTTTCCTTATGTTTTGAATGCTACTATAACAGGGCAACTCAGATGTAATGGTTAAAACAACAGAAAATATTTTCTTACAGATCCAGAGGGTCATAAATCTGATACAGGTTTCACTGGGCAAAAATTAAAGTGTCAAAACAGCTGTGTTCTTCCTAGAGCCTTGGGGGGAATCTATGTCTGTCTTTATCTGTTTTGTATATTTACCAGTTTGTTGCATATCTAGATACTTCATGTTTACTGATTAGGTGATATTGAGGGAGGGTAGTGCATATTTCTTTGCAGTTCTTTACATACTCTAAAAACTAACCCCCTGCCTGATGTGTAGTTAGCAAAGATTTTCCCCTTATTCTGTGTAGATGCTGACAACCTTTTCAAAATTTCTCAAACTTCAGCATTCTTACAGGCTCATACTATAGTTAAATATATTCCCCCTTCCCCTGCTGCCCTCTCCTTCTCTTATCCCTCCTCCTACCATTGGTTTCCTTGATTCCCCCCAGACAATTTAAGTGCTAAATAGACAAATGATGAAAATCCGGGAGAAACCACCCACATCCAGGTTCACATGCTACATCCCATCTACAGAGTAAAGTATCCTATTCACAGGCTTCAAGGGTGAGGGTGTACACGGTGGTCATTATCTAATGGGGGAAATCGTCTGTACATATGTTTATCTTATTGTTTGATTGATAAAACACTGTTGGCCAATAAGGAAACAACATAGGCAGGACTAGGAGACAAGGAGGATTCTAGGAAATGTAGTAACAGAGAGGTTGCCATGTGATCCCTGGAGGAGAGGACACATGAGTCTGGCATTCTCAGTAAGATAAGACCATGTGGACATATATTAGTAGTTATGGGTTAATACTTAAGACAGAGCTAGCCTATAAGAACTCCTAGTCACTGGCCAACAGTTTATAATTAATATAGTGTCTCGTGTGTTATTTGGGGGCTCTGAGGTTATTTCGGAACCGGGCAGGTACACCACAACAATTCATTCTCTCTCTCTCTCTCTCTCTCTCTCTCTCTCTCTCTCTCTCTCTCTCTCTTTGAATATCAATGTAATTAAGTAAATGACGACACTCTTATACACTGTGATGGCTATTAGAGTTTATCAACTTGACTACATCTGAAATTAACTAAAACCCAAGTGGCTGGGTACACCTGTGAGGGATTTTTTTCTTTTCTTTTGATTTTTCAAGACAGGGTTTCTCTTTGTAGTCCAGGCTGTCCTGGAACTCACTCTATAAACCTGACTGTCCTCAAATTTACAGAGATCTGCCTGCCTCTGTCTCCTGAGTGCTGGGATTAAAGGTATGCACCACCCCCACCCCCAAATGAAGGATTTTTTCTTAATTAAATCATTTGAAGTGGGAAGACCAACTGGATCTTTTAATCTGGATCTTTTGAGTTGGGAGGATCCGTCTTTAATCTGGGCCACACCTTCAGGTGGCAGTCTACATAAAGGACGTGGAAGAACCAAGTTTTCGCTCTTTGCCTGCTTGCTCTGGATTTTGTTGGCAAGTCCATTCCTTCACTGGCATTAGAGCCTACTTATTCAAGATTCTGCATACTAAAAAACAGCTGAGACATCCAGTCTGTGGACTGAACAACTATTGGATTCTTGGAGCTTCTGTTGGTAAACACCCTTGTTGGACTAGTTGGACCACATTCTGTAAACCATTCAAATAAATCCACGTTCTCTCTATATATAGATTCATTCTATAAGTTCTATTCCTCTAAAGAAAGCTAATACTCTTTCTATCATGAGAAAAAGAGTTCTCTTGCTTTTTCCATGTCAAGATGGCAGTTAATCACCATCTTCCTTCATCTTCTAAGCAATGACCATTGCAATTCTCTCTGCCATTTTTCCATCAACACACACCATGCTCGCTCTCTCTCCCCCTGGTAACATCAGCCCCCCCAACCTGCCAAGTTTCTGAGAAAAAAATACAAATGCATAATAATAATTACAATTTTAAAAATGTTGCTTTCCCCAGCTGTTTCCTGTTATCAGAGGAACCACCAGCTCGAAAGTCAGTCTGTGTATACTACAATGATAATTTAAGAAAGTAGCAGCAATAAGTACCACCCACAAAGACAATGGTAAAATACATCCAAATACTAAAACCCAATGAATCACGGGCAAAAGTTGAAGTCAAAGTACTTTTATCCCTATCTACTTGTCCTGTGGTGCTGCCACCAGAAGTTACACACATTTATGCTGACAACGCCAGCAGTATTGTTGGAATTGGAATGTTGAAAAGGGAGTTTCTAATAGTTACCTTTGTATGGACCAAATGCACAGCCAATACTCCCTGTCCATCCAGCATAGCTTCTGATATGTTGATAAATAGAGTAAGAACTTTTTGGGGGGTTTGCTGGGTGGATTTATTTTATATCTCAAAATTTTATCTACTGTCAATGTTCTGATTTCTAACACATCACTTTCTGTGAAAAGGTACCTTTTAAAGAGTTAAACTATCTGCCTAATTGTCTGGTGCTGAGAGGGTTGGGGGGGCACCTACCCAAATCCCAATTCAGAGAAAGAATGTGTTGCCAGTGAGGGAAGAGTTGGGAAAAGGCTAAAAACAACTTATTCCCATCCAGAGGATTAAGCTAGTGATCCAGTCCTGGGCAGGTGACACTACAGCAGAGTATGAGAAGAAGCAGAGATTCAGGGCTTCTCAGGGAGACAGAGTAATATTTCTTTAGGTAAGGCTCATCATTGCTATCAGGCCTAACTAGCTCTTAACTAGTCCTTTACATTTGCTATCCTCACAACAGGTGTTAGTTATTTCTAATGAAAAGATAACCGAGACTCAAAGAAATTGAGCAAGTACTAGCCAAAAGTAGTTCCCCTGATACATATTATAGAAATGTGCTCTTTACAAAGTCTATCTTCACTGCAATTAAGCACCATGGGTTCCCCTTGTCTATGAAACACTACCTTCAAATAGAGAGATTTGAAAAATTAGTCAAGTCTGCCAGTGGCTAAACTACTTGCAGTTAAGGTCATTCAATTAAACAAACTTAATTTACTGTCTTACTTCCCAGACTACAATCTCTTTTCAAAATCTAAATAAGCATAGTCAAACCTCTGATATCACTGATGCTCACCTAAATCATTCACAGTCTTTAAAACTCCGCTCAATTAATACCATCTCTGCAAAGGTAGCTATGACAACACCAGTCTAAATCAATTCCTATTGTCTCAAATCCCAAGGCAGTTTTATCAGCACCATACTACAGAGAGATGAAAATGACTAAGGAGATTTGAGGGGCTAGGATGAAGGAAACAGCAACACTGAAAGAGGAAGCCTAGGAGGGAATGTCAGGGGAGGGAGAATATTGGTGTAAGGGACAATTGAGGGGTACCTGTGGATACTGTATGTTGACAACACACATTTTCAGACCCACATAGGAAGGGGAGGTCAGAGGAGAGTGTGCATGAGAAAGCCATCATTCAGTAGTAGCCCACAGGAGAAAGGTAGGTGTACCAATCCTGGTTACATGATCACAGTCACATGTAAACAGTAAAGAGTCAGTTTTTGAGAGAAACCAAAGTGTGAGAAAAAATGAATATTGAAAAGCCAGGCGAAGCTAATCAGCCTCAAAACACAGATCATAATACTTCCCTAACAACCCTTAAAGTACACAGTGTGGTGGTGTTAATAATAGGAATATGCTGGACAATGGATCTTTACAACTTATTTTAAAATATCACAGGAGACCAGAACACTTTCCAAGGTCATACGCATGTTCATCATTGTGAAAATAGCAGTGGTTCTCTGCATGCTGTCCAAACACAGGGACATTTGGTGTATATGGGATACACCAAATACCTGCTTTCATTTAATATTCCAACTATCTGTCAATGAAGCTGAATTTAAAAGAATCATAATAGATATATTAACCTGCATTGCTGTTGAAATTAATTCATTGGGTCTTTTAGCATGTATGGACCTATCATTACAAGCTGGTAAACTATGATCACATTTGTGCTTTTTAAATCAAAATACAAGCATCAGCAACACGATGATGCTAGAAAGTGGCAGACTTAGTCTGCTCACAAGGTTCAAACCTGGACCCAACACAACCCTCTGTTTTCAAGACAGAAGATCTGAGTGCTTACTAATGAAAACCCAGGAGTCAACAAAATGGGTCTATTATGAGCAACTATTCTTACTAGCTTCAGCTCTGAAATCCCCATGTCATGTCCCTTAGAATCCCTTGTCTTTGTCAATTCACATGGTCAAGCCACACTATCTACATGGAATCTCAGTTTCTTGTTAATATTTAGTGTGGGGGGTGAGGGGTGTGCCATGGCAATTCAGGAATATGCTTCCACCATCTGGAAGGTCAAGTCAAGGGTTGTCAGGCTTGGCAGAAAGCACCATTTCCTTCAGACCAGCCTGTTCCTGAGTCTCATGTCTAACATTCACTTATCATGTGACCTTTGTTAGACTACTCTATAACTTCCTCAGGATGCTCATGTCTAAAAGGATACAATAATAAATACTCAAACCACAACTAGGATATTCTGGTAACTATTTAATTAAGGTACATACAGATCCTGGAATATGGCTGAGACTTAGCAGACAAATCCAGCAACATTTAATATTGTAGAACCTAACATTTAAGGATCTGAAAGCAGAGGTGATGAGTTTTGCTTTGGAGGGTCACCATGAGACTTAGAGAGTCTTCGATTGCTTTCTTTCCTAGTGTATATGATAAGAGAAACATGATGTTTATCCAACAAACATTTAATATGCTTACATTAGAGCATTTACACAAACTCACAATAGAAAAATATTAGGATATTTGTAAAAACAGAAACAAAAAATAGACTTAACTATTTAAATATCTGCTAATAGATGAGGTGAAAATAGAAAATATCCAGGCCATATACTGGGTGACATATTTTGCAGGAAATATATTGTCCTCTCATACTGCAGAAGCTAAATGGACTGAAAAATGATAGAAAAAAAATTTCTAGATTGCCATATCCCAATGGCACTTCACTGAATCTCTTGCCTAAGAAATACTGAATGCACTCCTTATGTTTTTAGGGAGGGAAGTACCAATGTGTAGCCCTGTGGGTGAACATGCTGCCTCCCAGAGCCTCCTGGACACTCAGAGAAAGCCTGGCTCATACTCACTACATCCAGGAAAATTGCTTAGTGTCATGAGACTTAGAAAGTACCTTCTAATTTGACACATTTGAAGTACAGTTGCACACTGACAGAATTGCTAGAACTATGCATACCACACTCCTCATTGCATCTCTGACAGGAATGCACAGTTCTAGGAAACAGCTGTGGCTGAGAGAGATGAGGAACTAAATTGGGTTAAAGGAACAAGGGAGGAAGGAGGAGAGAAGAAGGGAGGTGACTCCTTGAACCATAAAGTCAAAGAACTTTGTCACATAAAGTCAAAGAAGTAATATTAGGCCTTCCTCTGTTCTAATCTCTAGCACAACCCTGCCTGAGTCCTTTTAATGCTCTGAATTCCAACCTTTGCAATTATATGAATGTTTTATGGGATTTGGTACATCTTCATAAGCCTTTAATCACAGGCAGCATCTCAAAAACCCTGAGTGTAGAATGTGAACTAACATGATGATTAATATTTCTTCCTTTACAAATTCTTGAGGAGTGGTGTAGGTAGGTTGAGGTCATACTTATGTTGGAAATTTGACTTTGTGGATATTTCAAATAGGAAAAATTGATTCATCCACATAAGCATGTCCTTGTAAGAAAATGTCCAGGTGTTCTCCTAAAGTCAGATGCTGAATGAAAGTCCAGCGTGCACGATGTTTGTTGAGTAGCTTAGGGCTCAGCTCATGTGGAGGAAGTGAGATTGATGTTAGAAAAAAGATCTACAATGGAAGCCCAATCTGCACCTAGGAGGTCAACACCACAGGACTTCAGCATCCTTCATTTGTGTAGCTCACCTCTGGCAGCCATGAAAGCATCTGCTCTAGGGCAAAGAACAGGCACTGGAGGAGGTGAGTCCTTGAAGAGGAGTGTTCACTGTGTCAGAATACACCAAGATGTTTGTGCATGGATCTAGAAAATGTCCAACTTTATAAAAACATTGAATTTCATATTCTATGCATGGCATGAAGAGGTGATAAAAATAGAATGTTACATTAGGGACCCATCCTTACTGGATAATGACTAAATAATAGCAAAGCTATCAAGGTCTTTTTAAAAACTCAGACATAATTGTTTAATAGTATTTTACTTATTCACGCTGGAAGTTATGATCTATTGATATAAATTGTGTGTACGTGATAAGTTTTTTTTCTGTCTCAATCCTGTCTTCAAACAAAATAAACAAATTGTTTGCTCCTTAACCAGGAAGGGGAGGCCAGAACAAAAATCTGTTGTTTCCTTTTCCTCCTCATTGTCAAATGTGAAAATGAATGGTTTTATCCACATTTCCCTCCAAGTAGAAAGGTTCACTGCACAGGGCAGAGTTTTATTCCAGCTCTCACATTCATTAACCCAGCAACTGAAATTGCTGTCATTCTCCTATTTTAAAGTTAGACTAAGCAACTTGTTCAAAATTCTAAGACCAAATGCATAGATATAGCCTCACAAAACTTCATTTTCCTTGCTTTGCTTTTTTCAAGTTTCATTTTGAAGACAGACTTCAGGATTTAAAACTGACTCTAAGGCAAAAAGATAGGAACACCTGCTTTACAGGAAACACAACTTTCAAAGGCAGAAAAGTGGTCATTTCTTTGTAGCCACCCATTGTGTGCTATTGGCCACCTCTCCTCTGGGCTTGGAGAATCTCCTTGTCCATCTCGTGCTTTTTCTCTCAATTGTAGGAGCGATACACAGCATCTCCTATTCTCCTCCTTGACACTGCTTTCTCTTGTTCCTTTTCCACGCCTTGATTTTCAGATTGTCCTTTGTGTGGTCATGACTAGAGCAGCATCAGTTGCCATAGGAACAGTAATGCTCCCCTCATGGATCTCCAGCATCACAGACTGACATAGCTATGCAGTACAGCCCACCTGCTTTCATCATTTTTTTAGGCAGGGAACTTGAGACAAAGAAAAAAAAATGAAGCAATCTTTTTTAACAAAGGGTTTTCTCTCAAGTGGAATCAATGTTATATATTTCTTGGTCCAGTTAAGAGCATATACTGTATTGTCTGAAGATAACACTTCAAAAAAGAGCACAGCTTCATAGGATCAGCACACTTCCCAGAATCTGGAGGATGTTAGGAATCTTGGACGTTGGTGAGAACATTTAAATAAAATGTGTGTGTGCGTGTGTGTGTGTGTGTGTGTGTGCGCGTGCGTGTGTGTGTGTGTGTGTGTGTGTGTGTGCATGCGCGCGCGCGCGCACGTGCGCATGATTCCTAAATATGCATAAAGAAATGACCACAGCCCATTACTCTGTCTTAATATTAGATATGTACGAGATACTCAAAGAGCCAATATAGAAGACACATTTCATGTTTTAAATTTTCCAAATTCTATTCCTACTGAATGATGTCATGGTTCCAACAGTGCTTTGCAGAGCCTTATTCCTGCCACTGGCCATGTATACAATAGATCACTGGAGCTACTGACACATTTAACAACAAGCAATAGATCTCTAATACTGACTTAGATGTGTGCTGTAAAGTGAACATAGCAGATGTGGAAACTTTATTCACTTAAGCACCTTTGTATAAACTACATTCTTTAATTCCTTGAGGCCATGTCAGTGTCATAAGTCTTTGTAATGAATCACAGAATCAAGGTCTTCGTTGCCTACCCTGCAAAGCCCTACTACCTTTTCAGACTATACAGCAAAAAATATCCTAACATATATTCTTAGTTGTTGTTGTTATTGCTTGAAGTATTGGAGATAAAACCCAGAGCCTGACCAGGTCTCAACTACTAATGGTCAGTCCCACAGCCCTTGGTTATTGACACAGTCTTACTATGCAGCCTAGGTTTGCCTTAAACTTGTGACCTCTTGGTCTCCACCTGCCAAGTGCTACGAATGGAGGTGTATGCCACCATCATACTTAGTCATTCCACTTCTTTATGTAGGATGGTCACATGACTTTTCTTTAACACTAAGCATCCATGTGGGGACTTTAGATCTAAGTTCCATCTTTAAGGCAATAAGTGACTCAGGATTTGACTTCTAGTTCTATAAAACCGAAGGTGCAGGAAGACTTTAGATGAGATACATAATAGCCATTAAGCCCAAGAAATGTCAGAGGAAAAAGCTCTTGGTACTAGCAATGTCCCAACCTACACTGCTGCCTTCCAGATTTCATTGTGCAGAAGGACTCTCACCACCTTGCAGTGAGTGCCAAGGAAGCCCTACAAATCTAAGAGCTGAGATGGTCACTGAAGGGTTGTGAGGATTCATATTCTTTGATGATTATCTTACAAGTGCTTCTTAACACACTGATTTTTATTGAAGTCAGTCAAAAATATGTCCCAGCATTCCTCAAAAAAAAACCTCTTTACCCACTTCTTATTTTGAGGTTTATTATGGCTGGGGGGGGGGGGGGGGAGGGGGGGGTTGGGCATTCTGCCGTTGAAGCCATCCTACCTGTTTTGAAGCTGTGAGCTGGCTATACTAACATAGGTTCACAGCTCACACCCTTATGCCTCTCTGGCAATCAGGCTTTGGAAATGCCAAGAACCCATGAGGTCAAATGAACTGATGGTCATTATGCTCAGAAGTGGTAGTTTTTCATTCATACTAACAGCAATAAATTCAAATGTGGTCATTAAGAGGAACACCTCAGTTCCACTCATGAGGAAATTGAGGCAAAGGATGACATGAATTTTGTATGGCCAGACTTCAGGTTCACAGTAGAACTGGATGTAGAACCTAATCCCCGATTCTTGGATGATACTCCTACTTTCAATAGGTAGCAGACACTCCATTTTTAGATCACTTCAAATGTAAACTATAAAGAATCTACTGTACTGGTCAGCACAGATAACAAGAGACCCACTGTTAACTTGTTGGAGTCTACAACTGGCATGACTTAGAAAGGAAAGCCTCTATACTTAACTCATCACTGATGGGCTAACATGATCTTCTCGTAAGTCCTTTGTCATAGCAGGTAAAGGGAGTGGTCTCAAGGAGTTCTCAATCAAAAATATTTGATTTTCAGCAAACAAACAAAATCCCACCAGAGTGTGACTGAGAAGACCTTGCACCAGCCCACTGCTGCTCCTTGAGTCCACCGTTGATGGAGTCTACTCACTGGCTCACCTTCTCAGATATAAAGTCAAGTCAAGAAACTGGGAGCCACGTTGCTCTTTTCATTAGTCAGCAACCACAGACTTCATGGGTTCTTCCCTCTATAACTGTCACATAAATAACACAAAAGGTAATGTCTCCACCATCCAGATAATCATTTCAAAGCATACTGATTATCATATACACATTATTCCACTCTCCCAAATCAAACAGCATCTGGCCGAGATTCATTTTGATCATCCTCAAGTCATAAGAGGATACAGTGGTAGGAGCTATTGACTGCAAAGATTATTCATTGCTATGTAGGAGGAGAGTGGAGCTGATTGCCCCTTAGCTGTCAGGAAACAGCTCATCCAGAGAAGCCTTGGAGTGTGGGGGTGGCTGGAAAGTACAAGTTTACTCATAAATAAAGCAATGCTTGGATAATGAAAGTTTACTGATCAAAAGCCAATGGAAGTGATGGTGGCAGTCACCTCCACATTGTGTTCAGAGGGTGGTATAAAAGGTACACTGAGAGAGCACTGGGCTTTCTGCCTGGAGGGACAAGTTGCTGGGATTTGGCTAATAAAAGAGGACACTGGGAGCAAGTTTGAAGCCAAGGCAGCACCAGTCACGATCCAAAGAACAGAATTTATGAGCTCTGTGGGAAAAATGACTCATCTGTCGCGGAGCTGCCCAGTAAGCCATGTTTACGCCCACAGGTGGCCGTCACCAGTATTAACAAGATCACAATGGCTAAGGAAACAAGCAACATTTCCCTTTTGCAGGACAGGGTAGCCAACCAAGGGGTAGAATGTATTTAACTATTGTTCTCTATCTGCTTCTTCAAATGTTCTCAAACTGTCTTACCGAGAGTTCAGTTGATGTGTTCAGTCCCTCTAACCAGGCACAAAAGTTTCATAAATGGCTTATTTCATTAAATCATGTCCCATTTGTTCCTGGAATGATGGGTGATCACAGGAATTAATACCACAACGCTAGTATCTGTTATTCTTTAAAGCAGTTTTAAACAGCCTGTCTACTCTTAGTTTTGTTAGCTTTGTTCTACCTCATATATACCTCAAATTAGGTAAAAATGTAGTTAAATTCCAGAGAAGCATGGATTTATTACTGGCTTCATGATTTTTATTGTTTCAGAGTTCACCACATCTGAACAAGGGCATGGGGTTGGGGTAGTTTACTTAGCAAGGTTTAAAAAAAGAAAGCATAATAAACATTTTCACATTACAAATTTACAATGAATTTGTGGGTAAAGAAAGGTTCCAAATATCCCCTCATTCATATTATTAATAGTTATAGTCGTTATCCTATTCTTAGGTTCAAAGATCATGTCATTTTGAATCTTCTTAATGAAAATATTTCATGTAGATAAGAAGGCTGAATTTGTAGTAGGTGTCCACAAGACATGATTCCTCAACTGATCATCAAGTATAAGAGCATCTGGGCTATATCCATCTCTCTGAACTCAGATTTTGTCTCATCTATACCACATTTCTTCATGTTAGAACACATTAGAACAGACACCCAAGGTACTCAAGTGTGACAAAGAGGAATTGAGATGGCAAAACATTTAGTTTGTGTCTACTGAGATGGATTGCTTGTCTAGATTTTTTATGAGATTTGTATCTTTTGCCATCTTCTCAAAAATCTATAACATGGTGATTTCCTTGCTCACTTCAAATAAATATTGAATCTCATGCCTAATTCTGGACTGGTAAGTTTGTTCTTAAAAACAAACAAACAAAAAAAAGCAGATCATGTTCATAGCCTCACAAAAATCTGGAATTCTTTCTACGCTTCGGGGTTCACTGAGGATTCTAATGCTATATAAAATTCATTCAATATTCCTCTGACCTGTGTTCTATACCATCTCCACCACCATCACTCTGTTCTAAGTGTTCAGTATATCCAGTCCTAACTATCTACAGTCACTCCTAACTGCTCTTTCTGTCCCCAGAGCAATCCTTTCAAATGTACTACAGTGGAGATAACAGTTTACCTGTGAGACACACCAGGGGTCTTGCCAAGGATCCAATCAAGGCAAGTTCCCCAGTTAATGTCAATTCTCAACCTTATAGGAACTGAAATCAGCTGTCAAGGGAGTCTTAATGATGGACTCATTTAGAACAGACTGGCTAGTGAGTATCCATGTGAGGGATTATCTTAGTTGTGTTAATTGAGTGGGAAGATCTACATGGAAAGCAGGTAGTTGCTTGTCATGAGCTGAGCCTGGATGGAATGAAAAGAAGAGCAGATCCTTTGTGACCTTTCTGATAAATGGACTCTAGCCAGGAACTTTAAGCTAAATAAACTCCCTTTCCCTTGAATTGCTTTTGTTGGGATGTTTTCTCACAGCAACAGGAAATTAAACTAAGACACTGGCAAAAACTCATTTAGGATCAAAACAAAAACAAAATAAAACAAACAAACAAACAAATGAAAAAAAACAAACAAACAAGCGTTCTAGGTTCAGTGAGAGACACTGTCTCAAGAGAAGCGCCAGAAGATGAGAATTCCTGGTCTTCTTTGGCCTGTGTGTACGCACACACATCAGACACTGCGTACCCCTGAGACACATGGAGACTCTCTCCTCCCATCTCCTTCATATCTACAGTCCACATTACCTAACTAAGCACACTCATGAGACACACTATCTGTTTCCATCCCTGCTCTTTTATGCTAATGCTGGTCATGTTCATTCAGATTCTAATTTACTCTTCAAAGGTTGTTTTTTCAAGAATGTCCCTTTGATCAGGACTTACACGTGTATCGCCAATAATAATTCACACATGTTATATCCTCATGTCTCTGTCCCCTCCATTAATATGAGTGTCTTGGGGGTGGAGCAAGTGCTGTAGCCATCTCTGTCTGCCAAGCACTAAAAAAGTAGGCACCTCATCAATGCTTCATGAACTTCTGGTTACATTATGGGCTAAAAATAAGAGATAGACGTCAGGGAAATATATTGTCAGGAGAAACTGGTGCTAAGAATAATTTCAGTAATGCATACTAGGAGGAGACATTTCAGAGTGTTTTACAGACTTTGACCACATCTCTAAATCTGAGTTAAGGAGACTTCTTTTAGGAAATTCATGTCACCTCTGGGTAGGTAGAGGACTTGGATTAGGTATGAAATGGTAGCAAATGATATACAGCCATCTAATAGTGTTTTGAGACTTAACAACAAAGAAAAAGGATCTAGGGAGAAAAGAATCAGCCTGAATAGATGATGAGTCCTGACAAGCTCTGCTGCAAGACCAAGATCTTAGCAGAAGATTCGGCATGCCATGCCACTGAAACTGGAATACACATAGGCCACGTGCACACATATTGGCTGGTTACTTTATTACCTTCATAGGAAACTTAAAAAATGATGTCATTAAGAAGCCAGAAAGAAGTTCATTGAGTTAAGAATGCATGGTCCTTAAGCATGAGGACCTGTATTCAGATCCTCAGCATCCATGTCAAAAGCTGGGTGTGGCCATGCACACCCATGCCCCCACTGCTGGGCTGGGATACCAAACAGCTGGACTTGATGGGGCTTGCTGACCAGCCAGCCTAACCAAAACAGCAACAACACCACAAAAACAAAGGACCAAGAGTTCTAGGTTTAGTGAGATACCTAGTCTCAAGGGAATAAGGCAGAGAACAACAGAGGATTATACCCAGTGACCTCCTCTGGCTTCCATGTGCATGCACACCCACCACACATGTGCACACTCCAGACATACATGCAATAAAAATTTTTAAATTTTATCATTATCTATAGCAAATTAAGTAGGTTAGTTTTAGTTTTCAAGGCTAATAACATTCAGTTCCTAGCATGTATTTCATAAAATTACATCAATAACAATTAACAGAATAACTCAATAACTCATGTTTGTGGTAATGCTCCTGCATTCCAAAAACAGTACATTTTTTACTAAGGAAATAATAAGGCAGGGCAGTAGAGAATGTTTTAGGGAAGTATTTACTCAATGTTCTAAAAATAGAATCTTTCCCTCAGTGTTAAACCTCATTTTTTCATTAGATGCATTATTCATTTACATATCATAACATCTAAAAGAAATGTAATGCAACTTTGCTGGACATAGGACTTTTCACTATGTTGTCTTCTAAAATTCCTCTTCTCATTATGAATACAAGAAATAATATCTAATAAAGACAGCCAATGTTTCACATGCATATTGAACAACTAAGTTTGTGATCAGCCCTCTAAAGCCATCCAAATAGCAAATCATACCTGTTCTACGGCAACAGATGAAAGCACTGGGAAATCTCCAAAGACTTGATTATTTTTCTCTTTTAAGACCTTTTTTTTCATCACAAGATGGATATCTAGTTATGTAGAAACTTACTCAAAGGAATAATCAAAATATTTAGACATATAAAGAGTTTTGCAATAATTTGTTTTGAAAAACAATCTACCAACATTTTGAAGATGGTTCCACCTATTCATGCTATTTGTAAATCCACACAACTGAAAGATAAATTGATACTTAAATGTAGTGTGCTATATTCAAAACAAAACAACACAAAATAAAAAGAAATACCTGGTTTTGATTTTGGAGCTACCCCTTCTTAGTCATATGACCTTCAGGAACTAAAGAGAATAAGTACTAGGCATGGGGGCGTAGAGAAAATTTTAAAATGACCACCAGGAAGTTTATATGTGATAGATCCTCAGCGATGTTCAATGCAGTCTCATAACAAAGTGAGAGGCAACTTTCCTGTTAGTTTTTAGTTTCAAAATTGCCCTATGATAGATGAAGAGCCACAGGCAGTGAATGACTGCTGAGAGAAGGAGAATTAGTCTCCCCAAGGACAAGCCTCCTAATTATTCAATACCTAGTGGTCATCCCTAAAATATACACACAGGCAATACTAAGTGGATGCAGTAGTTTTCATTTACATATTTATATTCTCTCTCTCTTTCACACACATGTACATACACACACATACACAAACACATATAATTGAAAAGAAACAGAAGTCATGAATATGAGAAGAAGCATTGGGGATGGGGCATAGGAGGGCCTGGAAGGAAGTAAGGGAGGGGATAAATGATGGAATTATATTTAAACAAAATAAAATTTTTAAAATTTCATCTTTTAGTCTCTAGCAATCATTGGCCCTAGCTATCTGTAGTTTACGATGCTCAACCTAATTGTCTTATTTGCCTCAGAGTTTATTTCAAAAGGAAAACAAGATTCTTGCGCCATCCATGGTTCCCTACAGAATGCTGTTCTATTGCCTGCTTGGTATGCATTCTGCCTAGGCTCCGTGCTAATATGTAGGTGAAGTGTGCCAGATACCACTGCACATTAAGTAGGAGATTAAACCGGATTTCCTGCTCTTACACCCATTTTACATTAGTTTTCACAAATCTGACTTTCATAGTTTTGTTGGTGTTTGGTAAGAATTTCAAATTTTCACAAGAAAAAAAAAATCTTCAAAATTGTGGGCAAGTCACCAGAGACCCTTGAAATGTCAGCTGCTCTCAGGTGGGACAATAGAGGCTTGGATTCTATGCTCCCCTTCAAGGCTCCATATGGAAGTTATGTAAGTTGAAACCACTAAACCAGTTCAATGAAACCCAAACTGCTGAGTTCTGTACTGCTTTAAAAGAGCCCTCTGTTTCTGAGCCAGCAGGAGCTTGGGAAATTTTCCATTTGCTTGAATAACTGTCATGTAAGCCGCTCGACCAGTTTTGCTCAAAGAGTCTACAGAGATTGATGGAGCCAGGGAAACAAATCCAATCACTGCCTTCTACATTCTACTTTATTTTATTTCACAACTGATCAAAAATTCACAGGCATTTTCTTTCCTTTTTCTGAGGGCTCCAAAAAGCCCAACCTATTCATCTTTTTGTTCCCAAAGCACCCAGAAGGCACAGAGCAACACAGTAGGCACACTGATTGACCTGTCCCTCTGTTTCCTTCACGAGACCTCCTGAAAGTTGGATTTAGATCCTTATACACTGAATGGCATCAGACCTTTTACACTTCCATGTAAGAACTGAATTCACACAAAGAAAACAGTTTTCATAACCGATGTTTCTGTACAGAACTAAACCATGGTTCGAGTACAGCTTGGTTTGCTTCTCTGTATCTGAGCCCATCCTACTTTACACATTTGAAAAATTAGAAAGGGATTAGATAGTCATTGATTTTAGGTACTGCATGACAAAAATTATTTTGTATTGGAGGCAAGTGCATCTACCTTCACTATCAGTATTTTTTAATAAAAACAAAAAAAAAGCAAATCCTACATAGATAAGTCTGGCCTGGGACTCGCTATGTAAACAAGACTGGCCTAGAACTCATGGAGAAGTACCTGCTTTGGTCTCCCAAGTGCTGAGATTAAAGGTGTGTGCCACCATGCCCAGCATTAATTAAACATTTAGAATAAACTGCTATAAGTAGAAGTTGGGTCACTAATCAATTTCCAGTGATGATTTCTCCCCCCCCCCCCATCTTTACTTCAAACAGATACTAAAGTTATTTGCAGGCATGTTATAATGATTGGAGAACCAAAACTTATATCTCTATGCTAAGGTATTTCTGAATGTCTGAGTTCATGTACATGTGCACATATGTATGAATATGTATGCCATTGTGGAGGCTAGAGTTTAACTTTGAGTGTCTTCCTAAATTACTCACCATCTTTGTTTTGAAGCAGGGTCTCTCATTGAGCCTGAAGCATCGTGCTTCTCTACTAGGCTGACTGATCAGCAAGGTCTAGCAATCCTGTTATCCACCTCCCTAACCCAGCAGTAGAGTTACGTTGAGCAAACAGCCATGCTCAGCATTTTTCATGCCTAGATATCTGACCTTAGGTCCTCAGCTTGAATGGCAAGTACTTTGCAAACTCAATCACCTCCTCATCCCCTAAATTTAAATAACAACATTTTTAGAACCCAGTAGCATATTTTCCTTATGCATATTTTTCTAAAAATAATAAAGTCATACTACTGTGATTTAATTTAATGTATTTTTAACATTAAAGGATTAAAATATTTGTTTACTTATCTAAACAAGGGAAATGATGAAGTCTAGCATACATTAATATGCTGGCTCATTAATTTATGCAGATTGTCAATAATTTTTCTGATGTTTATAAAATAAATTTCCAAACAAGAGACTTGTTTACTGGATTTGAGGGACAAAATAACAAATAAAATACATGGTATGTCACGGGAGGCACATAACTGAAGAGAAGGATTTGACAGATGAAGCAAGCAGAGACTCCATAGGAACATCGGACTGTTGGGTTTAGCATCAGCTACTGCATGGCTTCATGCAAAACGCTGTTTCAAGGATACACCATGAAACCAGAACCTCTTTAAGGAAGTAATCCAGCATTCATCTTTAAGCTATTTTGGTCACCAAGTACATGTAGGAAATACCACCATCAATTCAATTCCTCCTGTTTACAATACTCTCACATGGGTCATTTTTAGAGAAGGGGTTAGTGTATCTAACAAGAGATGATTTGAGGGTACACTCAGTCCATTCTCACCACTTTCAGGAAAGGTGAGTTGGAAGCATTAAAGGAAGAAAGGAACATTAAAGCAAGAAGGGATAAACAGTATCACCAAATGAGCAAGAGTAGACTTCTGCAATATTCTTTTGTCATTGTTCTCTTGGCTTCCGAATTAATTTCCCATATGGACCCTACAGATTATCTCCTGGAGGCTTCACTATAAATAGATCCACACCAAAACTTCCTTCTTTTCTTGGGCTTTCCCAAGAAAATTGTCAAAATTGTTACTTCCTGTAAAGTTGCTCCATTAAAACTATATCTAAAAATGTTTCAAACACTAGAGGAGTATTTTTGTGGTGTATTAAAAATGCAGCTACTTTTGTTCTCAGCTTTTTATCAAATCTCTTACCCACTCTATTTTCCAACACTCTGTACCTCAGCATTTCTCAATATTAAAAAGAAACCGAAAGCAAGGAACTTTCTTCCTGATGCCTGGCTTATAAAAGAGAAGTGTCACCTGTCATTTTAATTTCTTAAAGCAGCCACGAGTTGTAGCAGTCAGCCTACTCCCCTCCCAGCCCCTCTCTTTGGGAGTAGGAAGAAAGATCCATTTGTATCTCCAGACTCCTGTACCCTGTGAGCTTAGAAAGGGGAGAGAATTGATTATCATTGTAAGAGACTCTGATGTTCCTCTAAAAAAAAAAGAAGAAGAAGAAGAAGAAACTGTATCCTCAGGCAATGACAGTCTGGGATTGAGTGCCCTAGATGCCCTCTGCTAAGAGGTTTATATATTAGCTATTGGTCTTAGACACAAACTGAAATCGAAAGCACTCTTCCTCCACAATAGTCAGCTTAGCTGAAATGGATGGACATACAGTCTCAGGAATACTCTGAGGCAAGGTGCTGCTAACACTATACCATATCAGCAGGATTCACTCCATGGCTTACTCTAAAAATACCAGCTTAGATGCTTGGAGAAGGAGAGAAGTTTTTAGAATCCCAGCCATTTCCCCACAACCCTCCATTCACAGGAGGGCAGAGTCAGAATCAGAACCTGATTGCTCAGAAAACATTAACACAGTCATAGAAAGCATCCACCATTTATACCTATTAACTACTGTATAACAAAGGTTAAAAATCACAAAATAATCACTTTGAGTTGTATATAAATTGGCAAACACTTAGTAGCTGTGATTTCAATGCCTATCATAAACTGTAAGACAAGGTGGGCTTACTAGCTTTTTGGTAACTTGACACAGGCTAGAGCCATCTGGGAAGAGGGGCCCTAGAGAGGGAAAATGCTGCCATCACACTGGTTTGGAGGCAAGCCTGTGCAATGTTCCTTGATTAATGAATTATGTGAGAGGGCCCAGCTCACCATAGGTAGTACCAGCCATGGTCAGGTAGTTCTGGGGAGTATAAAATAGCAGCTGATCAGGCATGGAGAAGTCATTAAATTATGCTTTCCCATGGTCTCTGCTTCAGTTCCTGCCTCCTGGTTCCTGTCTGTCTTCCCTTCATCATGAGCCATAATGTGCTGGGTGAGATAAAGCCTTTCTTCCTCAGGGTTTGTCTGGTCAGTGTTTTAGCACATCAACAAAAAGCTACTAAGTAGTACAAAAGGAAAATGGTTTTAGGTTTTCAGATGAAGAAATGAAGGCTCAGTGACATTGACCTATGACACTTTCTAATCACACCTAAGTGAACTAAACATTTAAATCAATCTTCTCGGGCTTTAGAGAGCACAAAGGCATATGTTTATGTGTGGTGAAAGAGACAGAGGAAGATAGATAGATAGATAGATAGATAGATAGATAGATAGACAGATAGATAGAGCCACTCCTGCATTGGAGGAACTTCTGAAACTAAGAATGAAATAGTAACAAATGTCTTGTATGCATCACACTGAAAAACTAAATCTATTCTTCAGTCTTACCATGTAAAAGCTACTGATCTTTTTGCTTGAGACATGCAACTGATATCAACAAAATACATACTGGCTTTTTGCATATCATGAAATCTTTACTTGAAGACACAGGAAGAAGCCAAGCAGCATGGAAGATAACATGTAGAAAAAACATTTTAAAATTAAGTATCTATTAACGTACATAATGAGTGAATAACAATATCGCGGTTTCCCAAAGTCTGCCTTAGGTGCTCTATGCAAAATAAACAACAACTCTCATAGCCCGTGGAGAGTCAACAGTTTTATCCAGCAAATGAGGACACACATAAATAATTAATCGTTTTATAGAGAGCACTCTAACAGCAGTAGAAATAGGATTCTGTGGGACTCTGGGGGAACATCAGTAACTTCTCCCAAGAAAACAGAGCAAGATATTACTTTTGGGATACTCACACACTCCATTAAGCATTCAGGGGTGGGCAGGGGCAGAAAAGAAAAGAATAAAAAGATGTAGCAAACCAGAACCACAAGTGGGGCATTTTTACATATACATATGAGCAGCGAGCTACCTAGATTTGTGGCATCCTCATTCCATGGCTGCCTACATGTCTTCCACCTGACATTGTTGTTAGCCCTTCCCCACTGCAGTCTTTCCCCAGCACACCGCCACCATTTTCAAAGCAGCACCTCCCCTACTTACTCCCTGCCCAGGAGGCTCCCTATAGAACAGACCCAGCTATCTGTTCCCTCTTCTGAAATGCACCACCAAACTGTGCAGCACCCAGATCCTCCAACTTAGTTTCTTCTTTCTACCATCTCTGGTGTCACCCAGAGCTCATCCCATCCACTCTATTTCAAATGCTTTCTGGGTACTGAGCACTTCTGCTTAAAGATGCCAGTGGCTGCCAACCTTTAGCATACACAAAAGAAAAGCACATCTCTATACTCACACTTTTATGCAGCTGTCATATCGTTTCATCTTGGCCGCCATCTCTGATTCCTTACTCCAGAAATACAGCTTAATTGTTTGCCTATAAAACATGCATTGCACTGCACAGCTTATTATTAAATTATTCTGTGATTATTCAATTAATGCCTATTTAGGAACATGCTTTTTGATCCAGCACTGTAACTCCCAGTGCATTGATTGGGAGAAAGCAGAATGAAGGTAATTTCTGAATAGGTGAATGGCTTCTTCCCACTGCACACATCTTGCTGTAGTCATGCCAGCATACCCTGATTATATTCCACTCCAATGCCCCTTTCTAATGTCATTTTAGAATCCTTGGAGATTCCACAATTATCCTCTATTTGAATTTTATATCTTTTGAAATTTCTAGAGACGTTCTATAAATCCTTTTAATTTGTTGATGTCATCTTTCCAATTTATCACACAACTTAGATGAAATAAAGGGAACAGGAAGATGTTTCCTTTTCAGCAACATCTTTTTCCCCCTTACTCACCATCTTTTACCGAATGATAAAGACAATTGTTAACTGGAGCTCAAATGTTAAAAAAGGGCCCAAGTAGATCAGAAAGCTACCCTCTATGGGCAGAAGACTCATGCAAGGCAGGTGAGATGACAGCCTGAAAAGGGGAAGATTTTAGAACCCCTCTGCCCACTACATCACTGACAGAAAAGACAAAGCTGGTCCAGTCCAGGACTTCCTGGGAGAAGATGAATGGTATGGTCAGAATTTGACAGACAGATAGGAAAATCTAGAACACAGGGAGCTGAACAGGGGCAGATATAAAAAGGAAAGTCTGTCTCTTTCCAGGATTAGCAACACAGTGCAAGCATCTAGCCATGTTACATTCTGAACAGAAGAACGAACACAGAGGGAAAAAGAACCAGTTCAGAGTATTGATGGGAGAGGTTCAAGCAGGACTTTAGAGTAAGTGGCTAGATGGTTTTTCACCTTTATGCTCTTTCAGTACTTGGTGTATGATTCTACAGTTAAATCAGCTCACAAAACTTGGTGGCACACAGCACAGGGCCAGCCAAACCCAGCAATATGTCATGATATTATGTATAAATACAATTTGTTGTTTAATAACATTAAAGTAACAGCTTAGATTAGAGCTGATGCTTCTTCACCTGTTGACAAGCTCTGAATTAGAGTTCAAAGGTGGAACTGGTTACCTTTACCTTTCTTATCCAACACATACACACACACACACACACACACACACACACACACACACACCCTCAAAGAAAAATACACACAAAAAAACGACGCATACACACAGAGACACTCCTACACACACTCACATGCACACACACTTATACTCATGTACAGATACTCAGTTCACACATACACTTACATACACACATGCACACACACACATGTACACACACACAAATTCTCTCTCTCACACACACATACACACAATGCACACATGGAGAGAAACAGTAGCAAAAAAATGAAACCCCTTTTTCTCTTTTGGAATACGAAATAATTGCATTTCCAGCTTTCTTAAGAGAAAATTAATATATTAGATCTTTGTTAAATAACTGCAACTAGTATTTTAAGCTCATAATTCAAAATCCATGACCTATGTAGGTTAAGTCTTTAAAGAACATAAAATAAGACAGAAAGTTACTTCACATAAGAGGGGAAAACCACCAGCTAACAATCT